CACACACCACTGACACAACCCCACCAGCACACACACTGGCACAACCCCACCAGCACACACCACTGACACAACCCCACCAGCACACACCACTGACACAACACCTCCAGTACCACCGCATACCACTAATACTAACACCAACACCAGCAGCACACATCACACACCACTGACACAACCCCACCAGCACACACCACTGACACAACCCCACCAGCACCAGCACATGCCACACAACGGGACGCACGACAGTGACAACGTGGTGCACGAGGAGCTGGGAAACGTGGAACAACGCCTGGACACCATCTCATCAGAAAGAAGCAAACTGGCTCGAAAGCCAGCGGTGAAGACAAGCTCTGTGGCTTCAGATGCTCCGTGCTTAGGGCCGCAGGGCTGGCAGTATCAGGGCCCCAAGGGGAGGCTGAGGCTGGCCGAAAGCAGGAGGCCAAACAGCGCAGAAAGGGCAGGTCGTCGGGCCCCTCCTCCCTTCCCCAAGCGTCAGGCAGAAGCCAGGGCAACCGCTCTCTGGGGAGGGAGAGAGCACGGGGCAGGAGGCGGGGGCTACACAGAGGTCTTCAGCTGCGCCGGAGGAGCCCTGGTCTTCTTGGCCCAGCCCAGAGGCTGAGCAGGGCTGGAAGCACGGGCCTCTGGGTGCCCATCATGCCTGCAGAGGAGTAGACAGCAGGCTCACCCGGCAGGGCAAGACCTGCCTTGCAGAGGACAGAGCCGGAGAGAGGACACTGGGAGGAGACACATGCGGAGGCAGTACTGGGAGCAGGAGGCAGCGCGGGGCTAGAGAGCTGCTCGAGTGCCACTCACAGCCACTCAGCAGTCACCACCAGCATGGACACAGGACAGGAGCCAGAGGACTGATATTCTCACTTGATCTAGGCCAGTTGCTGCCCTCGGGTAAGATGCAGGGGCTGCAGGTGAGAGCTCCAGAGTGCCCTGGACCCTCTGCTGGGTCCCTCCTCTGGGCACCCTGGGCACCTGGACCTCACTGGCTCTACCCATCAGGAGCCTCAAGACACTCTCTCAAGGCAAACTAGTAGCGTCCTCCTCCCTCAGCTGTTTGAGAGTCACTCCCAGGACGTCATCACAAAGGCCTCTGGGTGGGTCAGAGGGTAAGGGGGTCCTTCGTGCCAGGGACACAGCAGAGCCACGAGGCGAGGGCCAGCAGACCAGAGGGTACAAGGAGGCATGAGTGCAGTATAACAGGCTGTGGAGAGCCCAGGCCCCTCTGTGCAGTGGGACAGGTATTTGCCCACCTGCTTCTCTCTTCCATGCACCTGCCAAGGCCAAGCAGCCCCAGACGCCCAGGAGGCAGCCCAGGCCTGCTGACGCCATGTGGAGATCAGAGACGGACAGCACCCAAGGCCACCTAGCTCCCAGTGCTTCCATGAGCCCCGGGCAGGACCCTTCACTGGGTCCCTCTAATACTGAGCCCAAAGTAAAAGGGCAGGAATGGACACTTCACTAAAGGTGGAAGAAACAGAAGAAAAATGCACCCCGTGCTTAGCCACATAAAGGATGCTGCTCTGGCCCCTGAGGTCCCAGAGACAAAGGTGCCTGACATGGGACTGTCCTTGTGAGTGCCTAAGTCTAATGGGAGGGAAGGGAGAGTCAGAGGAAAATTGCTGTCCCATCGGTGGAAAGCAGACAGCAAGGGAGAAACATAGGGCCACTCTCGAGAGCCGGGGAGAGCAGGTGGTCAGGGTAGAGTGGAGGGTGGCAGCTGGACAGACGGCCTTGAGAAGTCCATTAGATGTTCTTGGGGGTAATGAACCTTCAACCACACAGGGGACGCTGGAGTCTGGGCATTACCTGGCACCACACCTGGTGAGCAATGGTGGCCAGGTGGTAAATGGGCAGGAAGGTGTGGCTTCTGGTCCACAAGGGTGCTTGCCACATAGTCCCAGGGCCAAGTCAGCCTGTCCCAAAGTGCACGTGCTGGCAGTCACATGGCAGTACAGCCTAAGGGGACGGAGCTGCAGTGGGCTGGCTCAGCAGGCCTCGGCTGCGGGCTCGACCAGCTGGCCCCTGGCCACGGCCCTTCACTTCAGCCCGAGGAGGAGGTGGAGCCGGACACTGCGCACTGGAGCAGTCTTTCCTCTCCACGAGGGCGAGTCTGTTCCCAGGACTCAGAAATGAATGACTGGGCAGTTCTTAGCCCCCTGTAACCTGCCCTCATGACCGAGAGGCCACAGCCACAGCCACAGCCCAGCCTCTGGCTGACCTCCTCTCATCTTGTGGTGTCCTCCAGCTAACTCTGGGCAGGGCATCTTGAGCAGACACCAGGCCCCAGCTCCCCACCCCCCGCACGTCTAGGCTGGGCTCTGCCTCTGCATACAGCCCCTCACACAGCTGCCCTTCCGCTGACTGAGAAGGACTTCGATGGCCTCTGGAAGGAGAAAGGACAGGCCGTGTCCTAGTTGCAGCACCTGCTTCTTCCCGAGGTGGGTGGCTCGATGCTGATGTGGAAGGACATGGGCAGCAGCAGGCATGGGATGGGCTTTCTGCTATAACAGAACTACGTCACCATTAACATTGGTTTCATTTCTTTGTGGAGCTGGGGGTCCAATTCAGGGCCTCGTGCTTGCTAGGCATCTCTCCACCACTGAGGTATATTCCAGCCCAAAATGTCTAACTAAAGGGGAAAAATAAGTACAGGAAGAAGGAAAGTCTTACTCACATACAAAAAGTTAAGAAGAAATCAGAATCAGTCCCAGTAACCCTCTGGCACAGACTTCCCCAGAATAGGGTGTGCTACCTGGCACGGCTCCGAGCCGTGACTCAGGTGGCACAGAAGCAGAGGACATGGTGATGCCTGTCCACTGAAGTGAGAGTCCACTAGGACTGAGAGGGTCTAACAAGAGCCACGATCAGCAGAAATGCTTGAGCATGCCTCTGTGCAGAGCAACGAGAGGTGGAGAGGCCAAGGAGACAGCGGGCCGGGAAGTGTGCCTGCCAGGGACAGCTCCAGTGGGCGCTGGGGCCACTGCTCACTGAGCTGGGCACCTCTCTCAGCCTTCAGGTACGGTACCTTCCGGTGCAGAACACGGCCAGCCGGGACCCCACTGCCAGGAGTGAGTGCCGGCAGATCAAGACTGACGGAGAGGCACCACAGACACGTCTGGTCCCACCTCACGGAAGGTGGCTTTGAAGGCATTGGCACAACTGGAGGTGCCCTATTCCTCTCAGGCCACTTGATGCTGCAGGAAAAGGCCCAAGATGGAGCGGGAAGGCTGCTCTGCCCAAGCCACTGCTGTGGCCGCCGCCCGCGAGCAGCCTGTGCACACTGTGCGTGGGCAGCCTCCCTCTGCCCACCAGCACACCACACACACACTGGTTTCAAACTGTGCTGCAAACACCCTGACCTCCGGGGTGGAAAACAAGCCCACGGCAGGATACCCAGACTGCCCAAGCCTGTGGCCAGCGAGGAGGTGGACAGAGGACGAGTCTGGCCACACAGCACTTTCCCGCTCCTGGAACCGCAGGCTGCTCCAGAGCAGGCAGCAGGTGAATCCTCAGAAAGCACTCAGATCCTGAACCAGCACATCATGGCGATGTCCCGTAGGACCTCGGATGTGGGCCAAGGTGACAGTGACAGGTAATACCTACTGAGGAGCCACTGCCGGGCTGACACAACTGAGCTTAGGAGAACTCTGCAGAGAGGCATCGCTATCCATCTCAGATACGAGACGCAGCCTGAGCCCCGCCGACAAGGGGCGTCTGCTCTGGCCAACACTGCAGTCCACCATCCGCCCTCACACTCAGTGGGGGCTGGGCCTCTGGCAAGCAAGGTGGAGCCCTCCTCTGGTCTGCTTGGAAACAAGCATGTCCCCCATCTTCCCATAGCCCATCCCTCATGAGTTCCACACCACACCGGGAGGGCGGCAGAGGTTGTGTCACCATGGCTGAGCTCAGTCTTAGTGTGAACAAACAACCCAGCTGGACACAGTGGAGACACAGTGGGAGTCAGAGCTGCTCACTGGAGCCACACCTGGGAAACCGAGCATCTGCACACAGTGGAAAACCTGCCCATGTGTCCCGTGGGAACGCGGAGGCTGAGCCGGGCCCCAGGGGAAAGCTCCAGGGTCTTCTAGGAGCACAGCCGTGACTCCACGAGGGCTTTGAGTTTGGGGAAATGCCAAAAATGACCCTTGGCTGACCTCAGAGACTCAGCGAGCAAAGACAGAAACCTCTGCTTGGGAACGTGCAGCCCGGCTTTAAGCCCACTTCCACTTCTTTCCAAGGCACACCAGGAAGCCGAGGCCGTGGGCAGACCCACTGGGCCCCCGAGGGCACAGCAGCTGTGCTACCAAGCAGGTGTGGCAGTGGGAGAGGACAGGTGATGGCATGGCGTGGCACATGTGTGGGATGGGTCCAGCAGCTCACTGACCCAGACCTGGAGGGGCTGTGGCTCTGCCTCGTAAGGTCAAGGGTCTGGAAGGAGGGGACCCTCGCCCGGAGTTTCCAATGGGGACTCCACGTGGGGAGAGGGATTTATGGAGAAAGAATAGGGAGAGTTTCCATTCCCCAGACTTGGAGACACGGCTGCATGTGTGATATTCAGAATGTCGTCTGCGGAATCTGAAATCGGTCATCACACCTGGTGGCTCGTTTGCTTTATGTTGAAGACAGAGAAGTGCCGGGGTACCCCTCTCTGACCCTTACCCAGCAGAAACAGGAGGCTGATAGATAACAGGAGAACTGCCCATGGCCTCACCACACCAGGCTGGACCCCACACCAGCTCAGAACTCCCCCACAGGGTCTCCCTGGACCAGGGCCTGAGCTGTTAACCATGAGAAGCAACAGCTCTTGGGGAGAACATGACCTCTAGATCGGCCTCCCTCTGCCCTCTGGGCTGCATCAAGCCATGTCCATTTTCTCCCAAGAGAAGGGCCTCTGGGCCTGGAGTTCAGTGGCTGCACCTCGCTGCCCTGACAAGGCAGGGCCTCGGGGCACAGGGTGTGCTGACTTACCCGCACTGGGCATGTGGTTCACGCGGGCAGGGTTCAGCAGCTCCACGGGCTGGTCTCGGCCAGAAAGTCCATCTAGAAGAGAGAGAGAGATAGCACTGCTGAGAAACTGCCCATTTCGGCACAAATTGTCCACACTGAACAACGCTGCCCAGGGAGTCCGTGAGGAGAACCCGGCCATGATGGAAAGACAGTGCCGTTCTCACTTCTAAGGCAGGACAGTTTCCATTCCATCACTTTGGTTTGCCAGAGAAACCCCATGACCAACACAGTGGTGCCCAGCTGAGGCAGGGCACTCCCGACTCCTGGCCATACCCACCTGGTGGGGTGCTTGGTTCATTTCTGTTTGGCCGCCACCTTACCCCACTGGGTGATCTTGAGGGGGTTTGCAGAGACCAGAACATTAAGGAGCCCACCTCTTCCCAGATCCCACCCATGTCTGGACACTAACAGAGATGCAGCACAGGGCGGGAGGGGTGGCAGGAAAGGACAGGTGCTGGAGGCCACCAGACCCACATCGGGGGGGGGCCTACAGCAAGCATGGGGGGCTTCCTTCAACCCCCGTCTGGCTGCATCCAGGAACTCTTCTGTCTGCTTCCACACGCTGCGAGGAGGAGACTGGAGCCCACCCACCACCTGAGCCTGGCACAGCCCGGACAGCGGCTTTCTGTGGTGGAAGCTTCCCAGATAGGAAGGAAGAACACTGGAATCACACTTCTCTTTTAAAATTAGCTTCTCACATGGGGCGAGTTGCTCTGCAAGAGCACTCACGTCCTCACAGACCGCACCACGGCCACTAGTTGCCTGTTCAAGGGAGAAGATGGCAGCTGCACAGTGTCCCTGAGTTCTGGACACAGAGTTCCAAGGTGTGACACGGAGAGGCCACTGAGTCTTTGAGAACATGGATAATACCTGGCGTAGCCAAGCCCTGCTCGTCCCTGGGGTCTGAATCCCAGGGCGGAACCATGGCTAAGGAGACTTGGAGCAGGCTCCTACTAGGACGTGCCAGGCTCAGGCGCCACAACTGGAGGGCTGCCTGGGTGGCTCAGGACCCAGGGCTGGTGTCAGCGGGCTCCTCCCACCACCCAGAACCCCTGGCCCAATTCTGGACTTGGGTTTTTGAGATAGTAATACACACAATCTGGGGGTGAAGACAGTCCCGGTGCTGGGGTCAGAGGAATGGGAGGCCAGTCACACCTCAGAAGCTACCGCAGGCCCAAAGAGACATCCCACCACTGGCCAATGGCGGATTTCTGAGGAACCGGCCCCCAGAAGGCCTGACGCTGCTCTGCACACACAGGGTTTGCTACACAGTCCCCGTTGCTCAGGAAGACCTGGGGCAGTGTGGAAAGTACCTTCTAAGCCTGATTCCCCCTTGCCCCCAAAATACTCCTTGTAGAAAAATGAAAAATTCCAAAATATATATGCTTTTAAAAATTCTAATCCCAAAGGACTTAAAAACAGCATAACTTCGATGATTGAGTCACCTCAATGTTTGCAGCAGCTCAACTCACAATAGCTAAACTGTGGAACTAACCTAGGTGCCCTTCAACAGATGAATGGATAAAGACACTGTGGCATATGTACACAATGGAATGTTACTCAGCACTAAAAGAGGATAAAATCATGGCATTTGCAGGTAAATGGATGGAGTTGGAGAATCTCATGTTAAGCTAAGTAAGCCAATCCCCAAAAACAAAAGGCCAAATCTTCTCTCTGATAAGTGGATGCTGACCCATAATTGGGGGTGGGGAGAATGGGAAGAATGGAGGAACTTTGGATCACGCAAAGGGGAGGGAGGGGAGGACAGGGGAGGGGACATGGTGGAATGAGACGGACGTCACTGCCCTAGCTAGGCACATGTATGACTGTACGAGTGGTGTGACTCTACTCCGTGTACAACCAGAGAAGTGAAAAGCTGCTCCACCTTGGACAGTGGATCGACATGCGTCCTGCTGTCAGGTATAACTGATCAGAACATCAAACAAAAGTTCTAACCCCACCATAAATACTTCTGGAAGTCTAAAAGGCACTCTTGAAAGGCCTAACCTGGCCGCAGTTTCCCAGTGGGACAGCATCAGGAGCAGGTGCTGGGGACTATGCTGTCCCAGGCTCTGCAACCCTCTGAGGATCCCACGGTGCTCCTTTGGCTCCCTCTTCCAGTGTCTGTCACCATCAGCATCCCCAAGTCCCCCGGATGCTGCTGGCATACTTGCTGGAAACCAAAGACTCTGGAACCCAAACTTCAGATGCCAGGCTTCAGCATCACATGCCAAGAGACTCAGTCCCCAGCTCGAAGACCTTTCCCTTGGGTTCAGGGGTGGCCCCTTGCCCCAGGCTCTAAGGGCCCAATGACCCCGCATGCCCTGGAGATGCACAGCAACACCAAACTCTGATGCTGCTGGCCAAGCACCCCACACCACCAGAGCCCAGCCCAGTCCTCTGCATGCCCCTGCACCCAGGGCAAGGTGAAGTCAGACCTGTGGTCTTGGTGTACTCAAAAGCACTGCCCATGTATGGATCTCTTTATTTGTTTGGGGGTCCTGGGGGCTGAACGCAGGGGTCCTCTACTTCTGAGCCACACTCCCAGCCCTTTTCATTTTATTTTTGACACAGGGTCTTGCTAAGTTGCTCAGGTGGCTTGGAACTTGTGATCCTCCAGCTCAGCCTTTTGAATCTCTGGGATGACAGGTGTGCGCCACTGTGCCTGGCTGCCCACGTCTCAATCAGCAGCTGTATTAGCTGCCTGGGTACTGAGCTGGAGTACGCCACTTTGCCTTCAGAAAGATACTAACATGCACACAAACTCCCTGGCGCAAAAACAAGAGTCCGTCTGCTCAGGGCGTGGCAGATGGCACACACCAGCCACAGCCGGAACTTTAGCATCACATGCCACGCAGTCACAGGGATCAGGTGGAATGTGACACCAGCAAGACTTCACATGATTTGATTCAGCTGACACTATCTACCTGTAACTTTCAAGGACTCATGTTTTAACTTTGGGTCTAAAATATTAAAACAGAAAATTCTGGAAATAATTCCTAAGTCTGAAATTGTATACCATTCTGAGCAATATGATGAACTCCTGCACTGTCCTGCTCCATCTGCCCATGATGCAAGTCACCCCTTCGAGCAGCACATCCACTGTATATGCTGCCCTCTCGTCAATAACTCATAGCTGGATGGTGGCCGTCTCAACTGTCAGATCAACTGTCACAATACCACAATCTTATGTTCAAGTAGCCTTTTTTTTTTTTTACTTAACAACAGCCCTGGGGTGCAAGGGTTGTGCTGCTGCAATTCAGATATGCCAAAGCTATACCGGGCCTGCTTTCAGAGTCACCTCAAGGGCATTTCGAGAAGGGTGAGTAGTCCCGGGCACTCTGAGAAGATAGCACTGTCGCACACCCTTCGTGAGCACACTATGAGAACTGTCCTACCTGCAGTTGTTGCTCATCTCACTGTGCCTGGTTGACAAGTTTGACTCTTTCATACCACACATGTTCAGGAAGACACGGCACACAGAGGGCTCAGCACTGGCCAGTTCAAGCATCTGCCCTCCATGGGTAATGGGGAACCACTGTAGTCACACTGACAGGTGTGAGAGGAAGGACACAGGAAAGCTCCTGACAGGTCCCAAGTGCAGCTCCGGTCCCCAGAGACTTGAGTGCCCAGCCAGGCTCCCCGGAGGTGCAGACTGTGAAGCACCATGGTGGGGCATGAGGAGGCTTGATGGACCCGCCAGCTCCCTGGGCACTCCCCAGGTGAGTGGGTGGGGCTGCCAGGCCCGAGGCCCAGACCCTCTCATATTTGGGACGAGTCCCACCCTAAGTCCCTCTAAGTCATTATCATAAGCTGCATGTGCAGAAAGAGGCTTCTAGGGAATAACAGAAAGCACCCCAACACCAGGAAATCCCCAGGAGCTCCAGAGCTCTGAGCCAGGGGCCAGGACCAGGCAGACCCCGGGAGCAACTCCAGGTTCCCACTACAGGAGACTGGCCTGAATGGCATCAGGCCTCCCTGCAGACCCAGCTCCCAACCCTTCGAGCTGTTTGGCGCTGCAATGATTGACAGCATCAGCTTCACAGGAAGCACCTGCCTCCCAAGGAAAGCAGCGACTGGCCCTGTGGGCTAGCTGAAGGCAGAAGCAGCTCCCAGCTCAGGGTCAGGGGCCTCAACTCACAGGGGTCACTTGCAGGGAGAGGCGCTGGGTCACTGGCCCAGCCAGCTGGACACCTGTGGGCAGCTCTTCACACACCAGGAGCAGAGGCGCATCGCAGAGAAGGTTGCAGGGCAGCGGCACTACCCACCGAGAAGCCAAAATACAGGAGGTGCTGATAGACCAGGGACAGGCAGGCCCAAATTAGCAGAAGTGGCTTCAGGCTCCCAGGGCCAAGCAGCCTGGGCCGTACCTCTGGCCAGAATTACAGTGGCCTTGGTCCCACCCAACGGGCATAGGACAGGAGCAAGGAAAAGGACCAGCTCCCAGGTGTTAGGATGCATGTCCCTGCTTTCCGTGCAGGCACACGGGCCCCCTGCGAGATGGCCCAGTGCCCACCACTGCCAATACTGGGTACAAGGACCCAACCCAGGGCCACTGCATGACCCTGGGCACATGGTGAGGTGACCTGGACATAACCAGAACCAAGGACAAAGCAACACTGAAAGGGGCATAGCCACCTCTGGACACTGGAGGTTCAAACCTAATTACACGGTAACTGCCAGGGAGCCTGAGCACACGCTCCGTCCTGCAAAGACAAGGAAGTGCCACCCAGACCTAGTAAGGCCATGTGTGTGGCACCTGTGTGGCAGTCACCAGAGGTGGCAACAAGTCCAACTGGAGACCTTGTGCAAGACTTGTGCAAGACCTCCAGTGAGGCTGTCCATGGCGTAAGGGCACTAGGGAAAGGGGACAGCAGTGACCCCAGATCTGAACACACTGCAGGCTCCGGGCTTTTCGAGATCACAGGATCCAACTTCCAATAAGATGTCCGCACATGGGAGCAGCTGGACAGACAGGGACACCTTCCACCAAGATGAAACAGACGGCTGTAGGCCCAGCGGAGTGGAGCAGA